GCTCCTGACTTGGGACAGGCACTTTTAGAATGTGGTGGGGTTAAACATGTTTGAAGGCACTAACCCTCTCCTAACCTGGGAAAGTGGTCTAACAGTACAACATAAGAACAAACTATCAAAATCAGTTGAAAAGGGTCAAACTCATCAGATCGATAGAATGAAAAAATTACAGACCGGACATAGCATGGTATTTATACATCCCTAAAACAAAAACACAAAGACACAAAGTACAGATAGGAGCGTACTTGCAGTAACTTGCTGCTAGTTCGAAGCCAATAACAACTATAAAAAAAAAACTCATGTATCTAAGACTTAAAGTATAAATATGTTGGAAATACCTATAAACATACATCATGGGAAGTGAAAGTTTGTGTCAGATATTTCTCCATTTCTAAAATTAAATGACATCTCACAATGTATCTTCAAAATATACGATCCTTAACTCACTAATTTAGCAAACACAAGCAGTATGGTGTACAACATAACATTCTATTTTAATAGATTGATGTTTAAAGTAAAACATCAACAACTGATATTTATTTCTCACAATTAAAGAAATAAGAAACCAGTTTGTTTAATGTTTAATATGACATGTCGACTGAAATATCTGACAATTCCACTTACATGTACATGTATATATCATGATGCGTTGACCTTAATATCCGACATGTCCACTAAAATGTAAGAAGTGTTGAAAAGTTTCCTTTTTTTTCTACCTTTCATTTTAATCTACTATGATGTTATCCACTACAATTTATTCTTAAAGCCTTCAACAATTAGCAATACCAAAACTGTTTTAAAGTCATCTAAAAAGGCCTGTGTATGACACTATGATGTGAGGTATTTCAAAACAGGGTTTGCAAAAATCTGGGTTTTATGAGTATTGCCCCAATGTTACTTGGTTGTAGTGGTCAATACTGGGTAATGTGCAATATTGGTATGAATTTTTTAAAGAGTATGAACTCAAGAGAGTATAGGTCCAGTTACTTAAGACAGACCACACACAGACAATGATAAAAGTTTTTTTTTTCAATAATAGTATTAGAATTTAGACAATCTTCCTAAAAATTTATTAAATTGTCTATAATGAAATTGGTGTTCCTGTTAATATGTAGACAAATAATTTTTTATATGTTTTCTGTATATAACTTAAATTTAGAGAAAGCAATAATAAAAAATTATGTAAAGAAATGACTATTCAACTGAACAATTTTTGTTCATTGCTATTTTAAGTGTTTACTCAATTTCAGTATACTTACATGTACATCACTACTTACAAAGTAATTATTGTCCCCTGTACGACGCGTTGCTGGGGACATAGAAATACCGGGCATTCGTCTGTCCGTCCGGTCTTGTCAGCGCTGTCACATGTACAATTCTTGCCAGATTTTTATGAAAATTATATCATAGGTTATCACAGCAATGTCTCAGACGGATTTCGAATTTCAGAGCCGATCAATTATTTTTATAAGAATTATGCCCCATGGAAATATTAATTATATGGACGTTTTACACTAGTAATTTTTTGGGGCCCTTTATAGCTTACTGTTCGGTGTGAGCCAAGGCTCCGTGTTGAAGACCGTACTGTGACCTATAAAGGTTTACTTTTATAAATTTTGACTTGGATGGAGAGTTGTCTCATTGGCACTCATACCACATCTTCTTATATCTAATTAATTGTTAGCGCTCTCATATGTACAATTCTTGCCACATTTTGATTAAATTTATATAAAGGGTTTAATATCAGCAATGTCGCGGACAAGTTTGAAAATCAGTGCCGATCAAATATGTGTACATTTTTTGCCAGAATAAGATAGAATTTATGTCAAAGGTTTATATAAGCAATGTCACGGACAACTGTGCCAATCAAATATTTTGAAAAGAGTTAGGCCCCTTGGAAATATTATATTATATTCGAAATTGCATTGTATTAAGCCTTCATTTCTATATGATATTTGTAAAAATTTTAAGGAACCAAAAAAAAAGTTTTTTTGTTATTGCCCTTGGATAGATAAAATATGTGCAATGCGGGGGACATCAGAACTTTGTTCTTTTATTCAGATTGTAACAAAAATTTGTTTATATCACAATAATAAGTCTTTTCACCTCAACAAGTTTTGGTGGCATGTTCACTTAGGGTATTTATTTAGAAACTTTGTAATATAGGTTTTATGAAAGGCTCCATGGGGGTAAGAGGGGGCACTTACTTTTAATGTAGGAAAATAATCATTGGAAAAAATTTCGGGGGAAAAATTCACAGATAAAAAGTCAATATCTATTCATCTTCTTTTAATGCTAAAATGCAGGGTAAGGTATTTCAATGTCTGTGCTTATTGTAATTTAGTAAATTTTCATAGATTATAAACAAAATGTTGACCATAGAAATTTCAAGTTTTTTTGTTTTAGATTAAACAGACGGTTATTAACTAATTATTAATAACTGCCTTCAGTTTACTGTTTATATTTCATGTCAATCATCTAGTGTCTAGTAAGATAATAACACTTAGAACCTTAACAAAAAATATAGTTTATTTTTATAATATGTCATTTATTTACTATTTAAAGTTCCGTATAAATGTTAAAGAAGAAAAAAATGAAATGAATTACTATTAAACAGCTGTACAAAAATGAACCTTATTTTATATCAGATTTGTGACTTTTTTCCTTCCCATTTTTTTTTTTTTTTTTTTTTTTTTTTTGTGACCCTTTTTTCCATTTACGCTTACTTTGTATTGAATGGTAAGGAGGAGTCGGTGACTTTGGTAATTATTTTTATCTTGATGATATAAGGTAAGGGCGAGAAATTTAGAAGAAATATATGATCAGGTTGTTGTTTATGTCATACGTATCTGAAACTTATCAGATTTCGTATGTGTACTGCATGTCGCAGCCGCTCATTCATACCCTGCACACACCCCTACAGAGTTAGAAAGTAGTTTAAATTGTGGTAGTAATAACTACAACAGCTTAACTGGTGAACTGGATATGTTAATGCTCATATTAATCTGTGCCTATCCTGCGTGATACATATCTCTTTTACACCATATATCATGATGGTGCTCCTCAAAAAAGAAATTGTATAGAGCACTCGTAAATAGCTAAGTCCTTGTTTTACTATTGAAATCCCTAGTCTGTTTGATAAAACAAACTTAGGCTATTTGCAGATCTACACATGCTACTGAATAATCGTGCAAAGTTTCGATTAATTCTAATAGAAATTGTTAGAGATATGCTATTTTAAATGGAGAAATGGATAAGTCTGTGTTTTACAATGGGAAATCCCTTAATCAACTTTCTCATCTGTACATATTACTTAATACCCTTCCAAATTTATTAAATGCCCATGGAAACTCTTAAAAATTTGTTGATATCAAACTTCTCCAATAGTAAGAATTGGTTTTTTTTCTTTCTTCTGAATTATAACATTTACACTCCGTTTCCATGGTAAACTGGTTATAAGAAGTAGAGTAATTCTCTTATATTGCCTGTGACCCCAAAATTGTATTCCAATTTTACATAATATAGATATCTGGCTTTTCAGTCATAAAAAATGGAGAACTTCTGTCATTTTTTTTTGGCTGTGAATATTCAACCAAAGACGTTTGTTGCCCATTTTCCCTTTATATTCATTAAGAAATTAGCCTATGTGCACCTATTTTTCATTTGGTGAAAAATGTCTTGGATTGCTGGTGACCCCCAAATATTACTGTGTTTTTTTAAATACCCATGTAATTAGGTTTAAGTCCACAAAGTTGGGGGAAAATCTGTCATTTTTGTTTGCCACCATTTGAGTCAATAGCTATCTCTGAATTGATTATTTTCATGAAATATTTCTAAAAGGTTTCCATAGAAACCGAAACAAAATGAGGTTTTTCTTTCGTATATGCACGGTGACCTATATATATATATTTTTCCGTTTTTTAAAGCTTATAATATAAATACGTCATCTCTAAAATATGAGCAATCTCTATCATATGTTTTAAAATGAAAATACGACTTTAAGCTAAAAAGGTGACACTAATCTTATATATCTATACAAAATAAATATATGATTTTTTAAGGTCCATATAATTCTCTTATATGGCGGGTGACTCCCTAATTTCTTTTTTATATTTTAGATGTACATATTGTAGGGATCAATTGTGCAAAGTTTAACAAAAATCTATCATTTTTATTTTAGATACCCATACCACATTAAGCCTCAATTTCAAATGTTTTCTGTTCGTACAAGCCTTTTCTTTATTCATTGTCTTAAAACGTTAACTTGTAATATTTTTGTATCGTCATTTTGAATACCATTTGTGTATCTCCATGCTCCACTTGCTATCTTTGACATGTTATTAATGATAATTTTAATATTAATGGCAATTTTTTAAATTTATTTGTAAATGAAATGTTAAAGATACACATTAAACACAATCAAATAGTTAGTCATTGGAAAATTATCTTTCTTAATGCAGTATTGTAAAATACTGTTCGCACGGCTCATAAGGTTCTACACTTTAATCCACCATTTTCTACATAAGAAAATGCCTGTACCAAGTCAGGAGTATGACAGTTGTTATCCATTCGTTTGATGTGTTTAAGCTTTTGGTTTTGCCATTTGATTAGGGACTTTCCGTTTTGAATTTTCCTCGGGGTTCGGTATTTTTGTGATTTTACTTGTTACGTTATAAATAAGGAACGATCAAAAAACATTTTATACCGATAACACTTTAAAAACTTTTGTAATTTGAGAGGAACTTTTGATTAACATTGAACTTGAAGGTTTCAACAGATGCAGTTTAATATGTTGGCTACGGGAGATATTAAAAGACTATAGGATGAAAACTATAATATAAATTTCGTTAGTTGTATACAACGCATGTTGTAATTCAGAAAATTGTAGAAATACAAATTAAACAAACTGTCGGATACGAAATGTATTCTTCGAACAATCTGTGTTTAAATCATTCTGACATGTCGAAATCAAACTCCTTATTACTGCAAACATTGTTATTTTAAAAACTACTGTATACAACCACTTTCATATTTTCCTGAAAAAAAAGACATTTATTTAATGTTACAAATATGATTTGAATATCAAATAACATTTAGTAAAGGTTGTCAATTTCTATTATTTCTAGTGGGCCTCGTGTTGCAGCGCATGCAAGAAAAAAATCCGGTATTAAATCGGTATCGTAGATAAGAAAACAGGTTTGGGTTTACGTCAAGTCGAACACTTGCAAGAAGAGAAGTGATTTGTTTTGTTTAAGAGAATCCTTCAACATCATTATACATTCAAAATAATTTATTATTCATAATAAATGTGTAAATCGTTTTAAAGGTTGACATCATATATAGACGCCTGTTTATCATTTAAAAATGTATGATGCATCATGAAATTTCAATATTAAGGATGTACTTAGGTGAGGTTTAAGAATTTGTGTCAGATGTTTGGACTCCTTGGTTTTTTTTCTTCAATACAGGGTAAAATATTTTGCCATATAAAACCAATTTTTCTTTTCATATAAGACTTCAATAGCTCATAAAAGATCATTTACCCAAATTTTAGCAGTTCTAGATTTCTTTTCTTTCGATTAGAGACCCAAATAATATCAATGCAAATATAAGGTAAAAGTCCGAGTCAGGCTTTTCCAGCCATTTTTAAAAAATCAAATATCTCGAAAAGTAGCTCCATAACCTATCAATATTATTAGCTTATTGTGTTCCTTAACTTATGCTCTTACGACTTACAGTATCAATTTTAAATTCTAGATTTTTTGAAATTCACCTAAGTTCATCCTTAAATTTATTTTAATTGGCAGTATTTGTGAGAGGACAGTACGGATTTAAAATGTTAACTAAATTGATGATTATATCACGCCCTAGTTCTTACTATGGAAAGATGCAAGAACAAATTTCTGACATGAAATACACAATTTCAACATTTTTTATTCATACAATTCCGATAACGTACAATAATATATCCCAGTCTCCCATATTTGTATCTCGGTTTGATTTTTTGAGATTTGTTTGCCATTATGTTCGCCAGTGATTGCAATGTATGTGTCTTCCCTCATTACATTACTTGTTCATCAGTACACGTTGCAGGTCAATAGTACATGTACGCTAATATATAATCATAATCACTAACATGTATGTATATTATTTCTTCAAAGCAGGTCCAGTTAGAATTATATTCGTTGATATTTTTTCCGCATTTTTAGAAAAATATCTTGGAAATCGGTCAAAAAATTTCAAATTAGAACACAAAGTGAAGTGCACATTTTCAATGTTTAAACACATATTCTCGTTTAATGTGTTTTTGCAGTAATAAGACCGTTGTTTTTCCCTTTTTAATGTTTTCGCTTTTTAAAGCCAAATTTACGTAATGTGCATCATCGTTGTTGAATGCCTTACAGTGAGCTAACGTGTTTACAACCTTGTGTCTTAGTCAATTGTGAAGACGTGTCTCATTGGCACTAATATCACATTTCCCTTATTTATATGTTGCAGAAATTTTGAAGGCTATTAGATAAAAACTGTCGGACAAGCTGATTAAACAAAACATATGAAACCTTGTTACAAATTCACACACTCAACATTCACAACGTGTTACGCAGAGCTTGTATCTCTTGAAACTCACCCATAGATATGATTTATTGCCTAACTGACGGACTGAACATCTTTTTTAATTTATCATTACCAAACATTTGAAGAATAATACAATTTTGGATGTAACACGTCTTCTGATTGGCTGAACGTGTTTTGTCTATCAGCTCATAGACATAATTTTGTTATATGACCGTGACGTCATCAAAGTTTTAATCATTAATGATTTACTCCTTTTTAGAATTGAATTATAAGGAATGACTGTAATATTTTTTCTGTCTATTCGAAATAACCTAAAAAATGTGGTGCACACTTTTATCAGTGTGCACCCTATTTTTGATGTTATTTCTTCATATACAAATAAAAATATTACAGTCATTCCTTAAAAACAGAAAGAGAACAAGATCCATTTATAGTTGCTTACCTGTATAGGCCTCCTTACACCAAGTTTCATAAGTTCATCTTTCTGTGAATCCTCAACAAATTGAAGCATATTAAAAGCCTGACAAAATACAATCAGCATAATTTTTAATACTTAGTCGACGAATATAACTTTACATGTCAATTATTGTGTTCACTTTCTAATGTGTTGTCCGTTCAAATAAAGAAGTGACATAATATCAGATAAAATCAAACTTTTTATTTGAAAATGCAGGAACTGGTTATTGAGATATGTCGCTTTTTGTTTGTGAAGATGGACAACATTCACAATTAATAAATTCAATGATACAATAATTTGGAAACGTGTAGTAAAATCAGTTACAAAAGTACGTGGACTGTCATTATACTGACCTTGCTTGAAACTTTAATTGGACATTTGTAAATAATCCACTGTACAGTTTCATAACAGGGGGGTGTCGTAAGAGATCCTGCATACGTGTAGAATAGATCTGTGTCATACGGCAGGACATCTTTAGGTGTGATACCTTCTGTAACTTGCAATTTTACTGAAGTGTCATCCGGGTCTTTTTGACATCTATTTTGTATATAATCTTGACTAAGTGTCCTTCCGCAATACTGTTCAGAACGTGAATCTATTTGATATTTTAAAAAAATATATGTATTGTTCTTCAATAGAAAATAATATTCAATATAAATTGGTAAGGCTGAATAAAACTGTTATTACATATTACATACATGCTGGACAAAATGACGTTAAAATGTTGGAATTACATTGATAAGATTCTTCAACATTGATATTCAACTTAGTTTCTTTCACTTTTAGATAACAACTGTGAATTAAACAACTGTAAGAATTCCTCTTCTGACGTCTGCTGTGCGTGGGTGGGGGAGGGTCGTTTCCATTGAAGCGTACATTATAGAGTGGTGTTGATAACATATGATTTTTGTTGAGAGATAACTGAATCTGTTAGAAGTGAAGTTTCTTTTTCGGATTTTCGGTATTTAAGAAAAGCATGGTTGTAGAATATATCATGTAAATATTAACTTAAATAATATCCTGTGACAATTTAGTAAACTTTTGATACAAAGATGAAGTTATAATTAGCAGAAGTGACAGAAACATTTTGTTCCAATAATAACGCCAAAAGAACATCGGTCTTTCGTGTGAGACAAGGAAACTCAATAAACTTGACATAAACGTGTCTTGCCTGAAGGAAAAAAACAAAAAAATAAAAGGAGGAAAATTTTTAATTCTTAACAACGGTTTTTTTTTTCTTACCATTGTACTTGTCACTCTCGGCAATAACATAGGAAAAATATACCAAGGGGACATTTAAAACTCATAAATCAAACAAAATTGTCAAAGCAATGGTAAAAGAGGAAAAAAATTTAGTCCATTAAACGTAATAACATAAAAAAATAAAGACTGAGCAATACGAAACCGACCAACAAAAAAACGGGTTTCAACGAAGGAAATTTGGAAGGGTAAGCAGTTTCTTCTCCATAAGAATCCGTCGAATTGCTCATGCAAACACAAACCCGACCTTTCGAATTCTGAATCAATAGACAATGATGCAGATAATTCAAGATACATTCATCATAGATACCAAGAATAACATTTTGTACGTCAGACGCGCGTTTCGTCCATAAGATATATTGGTGACAGTTGTTGAAACACAAATAAAGTTAAACAGGCTCAATAAAATACGACGTTAAAGTACATATTTAGGACCCAAATTCCGAAATGTTCTGCCATATACAGATAAGGTAATCTATTCCTGGGGTAAAAAATCCTTAGTTTTTCGAAACATTCGAAGTGTTGTTAACATAGTTAACAGTTATTTCATTATAATGACCATATGAATGATAATTCATGTCAACACAGAAGTGCTGAATCCTGGGCTGGTGAAACTCTTGGTGAGGAAATCTCCGCCAGGAATGACATCGGCCCAGTGGTAGTAAATAGAATCATCAAAAATATCAGGATTAAAATTTTGAGCGCCAGACGCGTGTTTTTTGCTTACAAAAGACCCATCAGTGACGTCAAGACATGTCATCAAATACATTTCTTAATGAGTCTAGAAATGTATTCAAAAATTAAAATAATGACTTATTGAACAAGTTTCTCGAAAATGATTCTACGTATACGCGTTTGGAATAATTGTTTGGAAAGTTCAGATCAACAAAGTATCTTAATTCAGATGTCGTGGGTTGATATCAAAGAGTTGTTAATGTCATATAAAAGGGGTTTGCCTTAAATTCCTGCATCTTCTATAAGACATATCTATTATGAAAGTTCTTCCTAATACGAAATCATAAGGTTATATATATTGCTTTTTTTTATTTAGTACTATAATTCTTACTTCTTCTCCTAAAAAACCCGAATCTGTTGTTGTTGAAAAAATCGCTGTATTGCTCTAGTGGAAAACATCGCACTTGTTCATAGTACTTTTCCATTATATTACTGAGGTTTTTTGCAAATCTGGCTTTACATTTTCTTCCGTTCTATCAATACAAGAATTTTTCTTGTGAAAAAGTATGCAGAGATATCATTTTAAATATAAACATGATATATACAATATGTATATATGCAGGATATATACAATATGTATGCACACATGATATATTTATAAATACATTTAAATTCATGTGATTGTATACATATATGTGTATGCATATTAAATGAATTTATATTGAATGCATATTAAAACGTTGGGATTTTGAATGTATATTGAATGTATTTTAGATGAATGCATAATGAATGTATTTGGAAAAGAATGTCATAAAGTTCTCTAAGTATGGCGTATACATAAGTGCCGTGTCTTAACGCGTTTAGTCTTCGTTTTTATATCTAAGTTAAGTTCATTCTTGGGTAATCGTCCTCTTTACGTTGAGATTTATAAATAGAAGTATCTGAAACTCCCATTTGCACAAATTTCAAACGTTCACTGAGAGAAAGTGTTTTAGATCTTGGTGTCGTATCTGCTATTTATGGACTTTCACTCAATCGCAAACATTTCCAGTTTGTCTCATATAATTGTCGTTACCTTTCTGGAACGTAATACAACATGTACAATAAATGATATTTTCTGAGTAACAGATTATATCTGTATTCATATTGAATACTTTTCGACATTAAATATTTTGAAGTTTCTCATTTTCCTAAAAACATTGAATCGTTAACATTACATTGAGTAACCATTGCTGATGTTCATTGATTTGTAATGTCTTAACAAGATTGTCTACTTATATAATTTAAACTATTTGGAAAAATGTTTATGATTACAGCACATGCGAAAATTTGCATTTTTATTTTGTTAATTTTTCTCTGGCTCATACTTGAATATTTTGAACTTATCTAAATAACAGACATCCTGTGATAATTATCCAGATTTTATCTAATTCAAACCATAGCTTGAGTTACTCACCTTACACTTGGTGGTTTTCTGGTGTTTACCGCTTACCTGGAAGTTGATAAGATAGCAACAAATATATGTTAAGTACTGCTCATTGTAACCTCATACATGGTAGGATATTAAGTACTACGTGTAACAACTTAAATTGAGAAAAGAGGAATTGAATCGTAGAAAGACTAACTGAGCCATTATTTTGTGTGTGCTTTAAACACCTATGAAAAAATATTCTCTTTCTTGTGTGTTCTTATTTATGTAACAAAAAACAACATAGATATATCTCATTCGACAGAAACTGTAATAAGATAGTGTACAATTAATGGATAATTGAAATATAATGTTACACCAATAAATTTTTTGCAACATAAGTGCGAAAGGTTTTGGGTCAAAATGGTTACCAAATGACGATTGAATAAACTGCAAAACTGTTGCCAAATTATACATTATGGTTATTTTAAATTAAACTTTAAATTTCAATAATTAAATCATGTCAAAGTTACATCAAAACTAATATTTTTTCTGTATTAAATTGGAGTAGATCATTATCTTTCTTTATCTGAATAAAATGAACATAATATAACTCTGACTAAATTAAGCATTGATAAAAAGTAAAGTTTGTTATAAGATTTTAACAAAAATCACTGTTTCTGATATTTTCTGAACATTTAAATGAGGAACTTCGTTAGCTGTACTGAAAATAATTGTCTGCCCCTTTGCAAAAGTAAGCGCGCTTTAAAGAATATAGAAACATGCAAGACTGTGGACATTATCATAATTTATGATTATTCTTATAATTATAAAAGTCAGGTCTTTTCATCAAATTTCTATCTTGTTAATGTTATTAAAACTAATTTATTCCACAAACCTTATATTGGTTTGTCCAAGAGGAAAGCATATTTTAATTCGTTCAATACGTGTTGTTGTTAATGAGATATGTCAAGAGTTATATGACATGATTTCTAATTTGATATATGTTTTCAATGATGCATTTCATTTCTATTTTCATTTTACTTTGTCCATCTATATATATCTAGGCATTCATCCGTGCCAGGTTTTTGTATTTTTGTTTGTGTAAACGATAAAATCAACAGCACTCAATTACAATATTGATTGAAAAGTACCTAACTAGTAGATTTAGCAAAAGGCACTTACCTCTACCATCACACTTATCCCCACAAGTCCATCTTTTTTCGATCTAGCATCTCCAAGATTGCCATAATTAAGGTCGTAAAATACCAAGTGAGCCTATAATATAATTTTTCGTCAGTATATGAATGATTATGAACTTATGTTGAACCTTTATGTTTGCTTTGTTTTTGAGAAGCATTTCCTAAAAGTACAGATTCCCTTATAATTCAAATTCAAATTCAAATTACAAACACAGGTTATTGGTTGATATCTGGTGAGTCTAAATAATGCATTTACCTCAGTGTCAAGATTTATAGGTATTTGTTTTGAAAAAAAAAAGATGAAATTTTCATTCCAGTGACTATAGATGCATGTCATATTTATGTATTAGGTAAATGAGGGTTCGTTTTATTTATTTTTTCATACAACTTCTTGTATGGAGGTTAGATATTTATTCTTTTATAATTTAATATGACTGTCTTGAAATAACGTCATAATCAATGCTACATATTGAACAAGTTGGATGTGTTTGAGTTTTGTCATTTGATAAAGGACTTTCCATTTTGAATTCATCTTGAAGATCGGTATTTTTGCTATTTTACTTTTCAGAACCAGGTCCTAAAATTTTATTTAATAAAATATCCGTATTGTGCTTTGAATATCATTATTTCATATCCAGTGTTTTCGTCTTGTATGCTTTATATAAATTATCTGGTTTCTACCCAAATGTTAATTATTGTCTTATACGGACTGTTCCAACTACTAAATTTGCGATAACGAAGTTTACCTCCATCGGTTTGAATATGTTGTCAATACAATGTTCAGATCCTTGATTATCGTTTCTTCCAAAATGAACATGTAACTGACCAAATACGTACTTCTTCTCTTTTGGTCTGCCAGGAACATTATATAAAATGATCCTATCGGCATTGGATTTAGTTGGTACAACGTTGAATTCCGGTGCATGACCTATTTCAAGAAATGGGGTTTAAGATGTCATAAATTCATTAAAATTGGAACCATATACAGTTTACCTTAAAAACAAGAAATCTCAAAACCATATGTGATCATGTGTATTGTTGTTTTTATACGTTGTATGGTTAAACACATTCACTTAACCTTTAACATAAATGAGATACACTACATTTTGTAGGTAGTCCATATCTAGTTATGAATAATTACAGAAACTTGACTCCAACACTTTTGAACACGATGTTATTCTCAGCATGGGAATTTAAAAAAAACATGAACTTTTAAACGGATTAATGATCCTCCAAATTCAGGAAATTTGTCCATGGGGGTCCTATGTTTCAACGTAATGTCTTTTGTCTTTTGTGAATTTCACAATAAGTAATGCTTTGTTATTTTTGGAATTTTATCAAATGTATTCACGGTGCTTCAGCTGTTTTTCTGCTCTTTGGTCGGGTTGTTGTCTCTTTGACAAATTCCCCATTTCCATTCTCAATTTTACATTTAATGACCCAGCGCATCATTTAACTTATAGTACTGTATAGCCACTTGCCTATAGTTGAACCCATATTTGGGTCGACAGCTTTAGGGTTTGTTTGTCTATTTTTTGTGGCTTTCTAATTCTCGTATACCCAATGAATATTTTTTATTCATACAAGTAAGATTCTTTTAACAAACGTTAACTCTAATATCTCTGATAAAATATTTATAAAACATTGTTTTTTTTTTTTTATTTCCCAAATAAAATCAATGTACACGATATTTACTACGATTTGCATTTGATTAGTTTATTTATACATTATAAAATTAGACCAACCTTTCAAAAAGGTAAACATGATGATATTTAAGTATGCATATCATCAAAGGAATTTTGGTGTATCAGCACATTTTATGTTGTATTTTACAGCAAAACAAATCATTCTGACAAGTGTACCACATTCAAAATATGATTATGTTCATCTTGGTATAGCAAAGGAAAATGAAAATCACATCATATTGTTATCATACATGTTTTATAAAAATGAGGAGATGTGGTAGGATTGGAAGAGAGGCAAAGGATACCAAAAGAACATTCAAACCCATAAGACAAAAAAAAAAACCGACAACGCCATGGCTAAAAAAGAAAAAGACAAACAACAGTACAAAAAGCAACTTAGAAAACCAAACACTGAGAAACACGAACCCCACCAAATAACTGGGGGTGATCGCAGGTGCTCCGGAATGGTAAGCAGATCCTGCTTCACATGAGGCAGCCATCGTGTTGCTCATGTAAGTACAAACCCGGTAATATGTCTATTCGAAAGGTCACATTCGGGGGAAGGAAACGTGATTTTACATGTTGTAGTTACGACAATTGGAACATATCCGTCGTCATCTGTGAAACAGATATTCCATAACGGTCAACCAACTCGTAATAGCTTCCTTGTGAGCAGCAACCCTCTATCAATGAAATCATGATAGGAAACACTAGCCCTGGAATATTGTATCAATTTGGAGATATATACTCCGTATACAGGCGCTGCTGGAATGTTGCTACATAACAGTGGAAAGTTCACAACTGGGAAGCTGAAATGACACAACTTTCCACCAGAGTTCATATGACGTAGATTTGTGTTTTTTTTGCATGATTTGCACATACAAATATATAAATAATAGAGTATTATTAGAATACAAAAATAAATGACGAAAGGGGAAATAAAAAAGAGACTGTATTGGTTCTCATCGATAGAACTAAAACAAAAATCTGTGGTTGTGATAATTTTGTTTTGAACTGAGACAACAGAAGGTAACCGATGTTGGTTTAATATCAGAAGTCTTTAGAAAAGAAAAAAAATCAAGGTAGCAAACAAAACCTAGGAATTGCATAAAGTTTACACAGAACGAGAGAAACTGCGTTCACAGAGTACGCGTCTCGTGCTCAGTTTGAAAAATTGAAATGCATGGTCAACCAGGAAGTGACTGTTTAGAAGAACTAGAATTTCTTTCGCTGTACAATTTAAAATTACGAAGTTCAAGATAAAATATATTTTATTCATCTAAACGAAAGCTGAGCAATATGCTAATGTGGGTAGAATATGGAATTTAAGGTAATGTAAGCAGTAAATATCTGCTTATAAATAAATGCATAAACTTGACTCCAACACTTATGAACATGGTTTTATTCTCGCATGGGAATTATGGAAAATTACATGAGCTTCTATTCAAGTGAACGTTCCTCCCAATTCAGGAACTTCGTCAGTGATTGTCCTATGTTTCAACGTAATGTTTATATCATTATTTTGTTAATTTAATACATAGTAATGATCTTTAATATTTTTGGTATATCATCAAATCGTGAATCTTCTAGTGTTATATGTCTACTTTTGATATATTTGATTTCCGACTGAAATGGTCTATCTCCTTATACAATTGTATTAATAGATTTCTACACTCTACAGTTCTATCTCCATATCCCCATTGAATTGAATTAGTTTATTCATCTAGTTTGTTCAGAAACAAATACTTTATAGTGTTTTATCTCCACTATTTTTCAGGTATTTTTGCTGTAAAAATTGTTTTCAAAATTATCTAAGTAGCACTATGCTTAAATTGTTTGCATGGTTTAAACTCAATGTATCAGCAATTCGTAGTAAATCCAGCAGTCAGGAATAAGGGATATTACACAGGTAAAGTCTATCTCCAATTGAAATATAGAGATAAATTTATAAAACAGCATTGCTTGTAGCATGTGTAGTGAAGTGTTGTATCTCCAGAAAAAAGAGATGCTTTACTTATCTAAGTTGCTTGTCTATTTAAAAAGCAATCGAACGAAGAGTTACTCTTCATGTACGTAAATTCAATTTTCTTATATAACTTTTTATGACTCAGTCAAATATTTATGATATTGCGTTTTTAACCTTAAGCTTAGTTTTTTACTACCAATACCAAATGGGGATTACATCATTATAAGATCCAAACGTCGAAATGTATTCACATTTAATGACCCGTAACAACTTGTAACTTACGATATTGTATAGCTACTTGCCTACAATTGAACCATATTTGTTTCAATAGCTTCAGGGTTTGTCTGTCATATGTTATGTTGCTTTCTCATTGTCGTTTCCCAAATCGTTTTTCATTCATACGAGACAATTTTGTTTAGCAAACGTTAACTCTAATGTCTCTGATAAAATATTTATAAAACATTGGTTTTTTTTTATGTCCAAAATAAAATTTGTACTACGATTTCGTTTAATTAATCTATTTATACATTACAAAATTATACCAACCTTTCAAAAAGGTAAACATGGTGATATTTAAGTATGCATATCATTAAAGGAATTTTGTTGTATCAGCACATTTTCTATTGTATTTTACAGCAATACAAATCATTCTGACAAGTGTCCCACTTTCGAACTATGTTTATGTTGTTCTTGTTAAAGCACAGGAATATATATCACATAGTATTGTTAATATACATGTTATATAAAGATAAGAAGATGTGGTATGATTGGAAATGACACAACTATCCACCAGCGTTTAAATGACGTGGAATTGTGTGTTTGTTTGTTTTTTTTTAGTGATTTTTGTATACAAGTATATGAAAGGAGGAGCAATATTAGAATACAAAAATAAATGACGAAATGGGAAAATAATTAAGAAACTGGTTCTTGTCTATAGAACTAAACTGTTTCTTTCTGTGATTGTGATACCATTGTTCTGAATTGAGAAAAAAGTAGTTTACTAATGTTGTTCTATTATCAGAAGTCGTTGAAAAAGACTAAGCAAGGTAACAAACAAAACTTAAGAATCGCATATTTAAAAGGAGCGAAAGAGACTCCGTCTACAGAGTACGCGTCTCGTGCTCAGTTTGTATAATAAAAATGCAAAGTATGATCAACCGTGAAGTGACTGTTTAGAAGAACTAAAATTGCTTCCGCTGTACAATTTAACATTACAAAATTCCAGACAAAATACATATCATTCATAAAAACGAAAGCTGAGCAATATGCTCAGTGGGTAGAATATGGAATTTAAAGTAGTGTCTGAGATAAAAAAAAAAATCTACTTATAAATAATTACAAAAACTTGCCTCCAACACTTTTGAACATGATTTTATTCTCAACATGGGAATTATGGGAAATTGCATGAACTTCTATACGGGTTAACTTTCCTCATAATTCAGGAACTTTGTCCGTGGTTGTCGTATCTTTCAACGTAATGATTTAGTCATTTGTGAATTTAAAACTGAGTAATGATCTTTGATTTTTGGTATTTATCAAATGTATCTACATTTAATGACCCGGACTTGTAACTTACGATATTGTATAGCCGCTTGCCTATAGTTGAACATTATTCGTGTCAATAGCTTTGTGGTTTGTGTGTCATATTTTGTGTTGCTTTCTCATTTTCCTATACTCAAATCTTTTTATTCATACAAGAAAAAAAAATTAACAAACGATAACTCTAATGTGTCTGATAAAATATTTATAAAACAATGTTTTTATAATGTCCCAAAATAATTAATGTACACTATTTTTATTAGGATTTGCATTTAATTAGTCTATTTATACATTATAAAATTAGACCAACCTTTCAAAAAGGTAAACATGATGATATTTAAGTATGCATATCATTAAAGGAATTCTGTTGCATCAGCACATTTTCTATTGTATTTTACAGTAATACAAATCATTCTGACAAGTTTCCCAATTTCGAACTATGTTTATGTTGTTCTTGTTAAAGCACAGGAAAATGAATATCACATCGTATTGTTAATATACATGTTATATAAAAATCAGATGTGGTATGATTGGAAATAACATAACTATCCACCAGCGTTTAAATGACGTGGAATTGTGTGTGTGTGTGGTTTTTTTTTTTTAATGATTTGTGTATACAAATATATGAATGGAAGAGCAATATTAGAATACAAAAATAAATGACGAAAAGGGAAAATAATTAAGAAACTGTACTGGTTCTTGTCGATAAAACTAAAATGTTTCTTTCTGTGATTGTGA